GAGGTATTTACAGCTCCTGTCTCTCCTCACCTGTCACTGTCGTCCCACAGGGGGAGTCATCAATGGCTCCCTGGCTCTGAGCATGCAGCAGCACACAAGGCTGCTGGACTCTACGGGCAAACTCCACCATCACAGTGAACTTCCCCAGGTGTCGGCCGCCCTCTGACACAGTCACCAGAGAGTCTGGAAACACACACTGCAGCAGCTCTGCAGGCTCTGAGAGCAGTAGTGGAGAACATGAACCACAATTAGGGTGTTGGGAGGTAACAGACACTTAACTTTAATGCTTTTTAAAACCTTTTCAAGATAATTTTTAACCAAGTTCAAGACTGATTTCTGGACTAATCATCTTTTTCTTGTTCAAGCATTGCAGTTGGTGCTTCTTTTTAGTCCAAGGAGCTGAGTTCTTCTTCAGTGGATTTCAGATACTGTTCCTACGGATTCATTTTGGATCCGGAGCACCATGGAAGTACCTTTAGAAGCTGTGAGCTTCTGGCTCAAGGACCAGCTGTTCAAGGTTTTTCACATTTGGGACCCTTTTGTGGACTATACTGAAAATGATGGGGCCCAGGCCCTTAGGAGTGGACTGTATGGACTAGCATGGACTGAGGTCTCGTAACACATCTCCATGTAGGTTTATGTGCTCAATATGTCACAATCTCTTCAACATACCTGATTCCCCCTGAGAACTGTGCTGCTGTGAACCTTTACACTTTTATTTATTTTTCTTTCTTTCTTTTTGCTTTGTTTTGTCTGTTGTGATTTTTGTTTATCTCGGTTAGGTCATATTGTTTGATTGATTCTTTGACACACACAAACACACACACACACATATATATATATATATATTTATTTATTTATTTGTTTATTTATCAGGGACAATGCATATTAATGAAAAGTGAACTGTAAATATACCGGAATTAGCCAAAAAGCTAGTTTTCATCCGCAGTCCCTGGCCAGATCTGAGTTGGCAGCCTAAGTAATAAAAAAGTTAGAAGTTTAAAACAATATCATTGCATGCAGTTTAAGATATAATAGATATCAGTGGCGGCTGCTGCTCTTTCAAACAGGAGAAGCTCACTTTAAGTTGACATCATAAAATTTGTCATACTGTAGCGAGGCAGTAACTTATAAAAGGACGATTTAAAACATTTATTACAAGCTAAAGGCTGATGTGTGTCCTCACAACACTTCTCCTTATTCTCTTTCATCTGCTTTTTTATAAAGTCTGTCGTCTCTTACATGACAGGTTCAGTAGAGTGGGCTACACCCCTCGGTAGGGGTCATCTCCTTTCACGATAATACCAGTAGTATTTTTAATATCATAATGAAAAAAACGTCATACTGTTACCCACAGCAACAACAAGCATGGCTGAAAGCGAAATTATTACCGACTCTGCTGTGGTTCCAAAAAGATGAGTAGCTTCAGTAGTGTGGAATAAACTGTGGCGTCCTGAATGTTTTATGAACAGCCCCGGACTTCTCAGACTCTTTTATTGTCTTACTGCTCAGAGGGAACTCATTCAGCGGCTCCTCTGGCAGCAGCACAGCGTCTCTCCCTCTCCTCTCTCGCCGTGAGCACACGGAACTCGGTGTCGTCAAGTGATTTTGTCATAAAGCTTTGGTAATGTAAACCTATGTGACGCTCATGGCTCAACAAAAAAACTACATATATGTGAATGTGTGATAGTTGTGGTATCATAACAGCCTGTCACAGGTTACAGCGTGATGATTAGAGGTGAAATGGCAGAGCATAAAGGTCCAGGTGGAAAAAAACCCAACTCAATCATTTAGGATTTTACTAAAAGAGAAACTCAAGCAAGTCCAGTGGCCTACAATATAGCACCTATGGTCACCATGACCTGGATAACTGAGAATCTTCACCAACATGCGGGTGACTAGTCGAGTAATGGCCCTAATTGATGACTATTCATCGACTAGGAATATTCTTAGCAGGGGGCAGGTCTAGAAGAAAACAACAACAACAACAATTAAACAGTCACAGTCCCCTCCTCTTTCTCCATCTTCCACTCTTGATTCAGTCATCAAAACTCCTGCCATTCATGCATGAACAACCAGCTGCATAAACAAAGAAGAAACAAACAAACAAAAAACATTGCTGAATTGTTGAGAACCCAACCTGAGGTCAATATTGTTAAATTACAGCCTGGCCTGAACCAAACTCGGTGGGTCAGGTTTGGCCTAATTGTGCAGAGAATCAGGGCTGTGACTGGAAATGGGCCCCCTAATGCTGAACAGGTGATTACGGCCCTGGTCTGGGCCAATTCAAGATGTGCCACCAACAGGTGGTGAGCACTAACTCCGCAGATTCTGTCTCCTGTTGACGCTTCAAACCAGCCTACAGAGTTTAGTGACAGACTCACCAACACTGGACATGAACCTGACAGCTTCGTCAGAGGCTTTCGGCTCCTCTTCTTCAGTCCCGGCTGAAGCCCCGGCAGCGGTCTCGTCTTCCAGCAGGGCTTCCATCATTAGCCGGTGTTTAACGGCAGATACTCCCGATGGTTAAATCAGTCCCAGTGTTGTCGGGACAGCTTCATACGAGAGACTTCTGTGGTGACAGCTCGGTTGTTTTTGTTATTTTAACGGCAATAGCCCTTTTAATGAGAAGCTGCGGAGTCTACACAGCCTCTTTTACGATACGGAAGAGAAGACAAGTTGTCATAGCAACGACGCTGCAGTACCGTAAAGACGGTTGTATGTGCGCAGCCGAATGTTATAATTTTAAAATTAAACTACAGTACCGTAACTAATAGGGGTGGCTGATATGGCCCTAAAATAATATCACCATATTTCAGGGTATTTTTGCAATAACAATATTCTTGACAATATGATAAAATAGTAAAAAAAAAAACCCAAAATATTAATAATTTAAGAACATAAAATTGCAACCATAAGTGATCTAGTTTTACAGTTTGCCTTCAAATGTTCAGTAAAAAGTAATCAAAAAATATTTCTAATTTCTTTAGTTAGTACACAACAACATTAACTCAGATTCTGTATACAATATTAATAGTTCAACTAAATAAAATCTACCTCAAATTACACATTTAAACAGCTCCCAAATACAAAAAATGTCCCCTGGGATCTATATATATAAATCAACAGGTGATTTCCTTCTTTTAGCAAAATCCTAAATGATTGAGGTTTTTTTTGTTCCCGTCTGGACCTTTATGCTCTGCCATTTCTCCTCTAATCATCACGCTGTAACCTGTGACAGGCTGTTATGGTACCACAACTATCACACAGTCACATATAGTTTTTGTCATATACTTTTACATTACCAAAGGTTTATGACAAAATTACTTGACGACATAGTTGATAAGTCACTAAAAGAGTCTGAGAAGTCCGGGTCTGTTCATAAAACATTCAGGACGCCACAGTTTATTCCACACTACTGAAGCTGCTCCTCCTTTTGGAACCAATGCAGCGTCGCTGATAATTTCACTTTCAGCACAGTACAACATCAGCATGTTAGCAATTTGAAATATGGCGAGGATCACGATATAAATTTTACATATGATGTTAAAAATAATACCGGTATTATCGTAAACAAGATACACCTCTATTCAGATTGCCACCTTGGAAATATACCTGTGTCCAAAGATAAATGATAAAAAGAGAGAATATTATTAATTAAAAAGAGGCAAATCCATCTGCGTCAGTTTTCTTTTTTATTTGTATTTTTTCTTTTTTTTAAATAGCCAGTGGTTATCTAAAAACAAAATGATATGCTTTTTCTTTCTAGGCTATAAAATATATAAATAAACTATGAAAACAATTCTATCAAATGATTAATTTATTACTTTCTTTGATATTTTTGTCAGATATGCTATGCAGTGATGATTGCTGGGTAATATCTACGTTAATGTTGTCCAATGTCAAGTCTCTATTGTCTGTCAAGACAATACATGCACAACAGGCCCTTCTTAATAGTGAGCACTTGGGCCTGTTGTAACTTCCTTACACCACTGAATAATGTGCTTAAATACTCAAAATGTGAAACGGTAAATCTCTCTAAAAAAAAAAAAAAAGAAAAGAAAAAAGAAATAGCTTAGGGAATGGGACTGTACTTTGAGATTGACATTCTTAGTTATATTTACAACATGATCAAAAGTACAGAAAATAAATTGAGAGAACGTTCTAAACTTTCTTTATTCAATCATCATAAAAAGGTACAAAAGGATGGAAGAATACACTTATTATCAAGAATAAAGAACTAAAGCAGTCAAAGAATCAACTATTGGTCTTCCAATGGCCTTCAGGATTTACCTGGTTGAAAATGGGTGAAATAAATAAATACACAAAAGTTTGTTGGCTATGCAAATGTCACTAATATTCTGCATTTAGGGCTTCTGTTTGTAAAAATTTCTGGTGAAACAGTATAAATCCATAAAGCTTTTATTAATAGAGCCTCACTCTGAAGTCATCACAATCCGACACTTGGGCAGTGACCTGCAGCGTCAGAAACCAACGAAAAAAGGCATTGTTGGACGGTGGTGTCAGGGGGAAATGTGGCGGGACAAGGATGAAAGTTAAGGTGGCGAAGGTCCGACTGGGCAGACGGGAGGGGTGGATGGGTCCAACAAACACCGACCTTCACCCGAGAGAGCGGTGTTGGGTGTCCTATAAGATTATAAAGCCAAACCCTGTTCTTTTTTCCTAAACCTGACCATGTGTGGTTGTTGTTGAAGGAAAAAAACGTCAACTCATGGTGTTGTACCAACATAGTGTGTTTATTTTGAAAGATACTGTATGTAAACGTTAAATTTCCTGTGAAATTGAAAGTGTATTTTGAAAGAAGAGAACTTGACACGGTGTCCCAGATCATCAACAGCCAACACACCCAGGGTACCTTGCACGTCGTATGCGGATGTGGAAAGTCCATGACCAAACGTCGATATGTGACAAGGTCGGAGTGAGAATGTGTTGCTTAATGCTGTCTCATAAAAACCTAGACCCTCCAGTGATCCTCATACTTGGAGCAAAAAACAGATTTATTCTGTATTACAAATCAGTGACAATACAAAAGACAATAATTCAGTGAGATGATTTAAAAATATAAAATTTTATAATGATAAAAAAGACAAAAGAGCATGTTTTAAGAAAACCCTTCCCTTGAGTTAATTATCCATCCTTAACTAAAAGATACAGCGTGTGTGTGTTTGCATCATTTTTAGTGATTGACGCTTCAGTTGCAATGTGGGGCCAACACAAGTGTCTTCCTCAGGGTGAACCTCACTTCAGGTATCTGCTTCGCTTTACCAGGTTGACTGCTTCCCTCTTTACGGGCTACCTCATCGTTCACTCGGTGGAGGATGGTGGTAATGTCTTCACTCCTTGAACAAAATACAGAACAATAACATATTACAATCCCTTTCAGGCACATTATGATTAAGTCAAGTGTACAGTATACACTACATGATGACGAGCATATCATTAGATCTACAAAACACTGTGGATATTTCAATCTACAGTTATATAATCAATTCTGAGTTTCACATTTACCTCGGACAGCCTTCCCGCAGCGCCTGACATATGCTCTGGATAAACCAACTCCCATATGTTTTGTGTCTAATTGACGTATGGTCTTCAACAGTGGCAATGGCGACCAGAACATCAGCTTCCTCAGGGATGGACAGTAAGGGAGCATCATCAACCTGCAGATCTTTTAATAACACTCCTCGCTGCATTAGTCCTCCCTGGCAGGCCTGGATCAGGAACACTTTGGGCTTCCCGGTGAGGAGTGACTGATCGGTCGCCTTGAAAGTTCTAGTTATTTGTTTAATGGGGAGGGGCTGCCCATCAATCCCAAAGACGACACCCTTGTGTCCGTGACTGAGAATACAGCAGATGAAGGCATCGCCGTGCTTAGGAGCCTCCTGGAGATCAGTGAATCCGCTGCCAGACCACTCCTGAACACTGAACTCCTGCAGCTGAGAGAGGTCACTCTGGGCAGCAAAGCAATGCAGGGCGCGATCCATCTGGTCTTTGGTTTGGTCTTTACACATCAGCACTCTGAACCCAAGCCAGCTGAAGACCTCCGCCAAACTTTCTGTGAGAAATTTAATAATAATAAAAAAAAAATCCCTGGTTAAAGGAATACTTAGGATGTTTTGAAGTGGAGTTGTATGAGACTTATCCACAGTCTGTGTATCACCTACAGTAGATGGCAGTTTGGAGAAGCAAGCAGGAGTCCAACACGGATGCTAAGCAATCCACTGATGTGGACGGGGTCAGCAGCAAAACCCATTGTAGCCACCTAAAAAAAAGTCCTACCTAAAACCATCCATATCAGTTTGAGTGTGCACTATATTGAGAATATTTTCTGTCAGACAGTGATTTTCAACAAGGAACTGAAGCCATTATATTTCGCTGTCAGTGATTTAACACTGCAAAACCAGTTCAAAATAATGAACAGGGTATATTGGGCCCCCCTAAAGGTTATTTAGGGTGAAATTAAGAGACAGCCCGAATTGCTGGAGGTGTGATGTGAGCGTTGGCACACTCCACCACATGTTGTGGTTCTGCACTGTTGCACAAACATTCTGGTCCGCCGTACATGAGAATATCAAAATGATCCTTAAATCAGACGTGATTCGTTAAAGATCCTTGATGCAACTACATGATAACATACTGCCCTAACCCTTAAAAAAAACATTTAGAAATGTGTCATGTGACACTCAGGGTGCTTTCAGACCTAGAATTGTCTTGCTTTGTTCCGAATCAGGGTCTAATTTTATGACAAAGTTGTATAATTACCAAGAGTTGGTTTGTGTTCTCACGGCAGCATTAACAAGAAGACCAGATATAATGCCTTGAGCGAGAAAGCTGCTCTTGATTGGTCAGAATTTCCATGTGGGAAAAATCCAGGAAGTAAACAAAACATTAAAGAAGAGTACACTTGCAAGATAAATGTGACACTTTCTAATGTCACAATGGAGGGACAGCTACGCAGGTTGATTTTAGCGCTGGTGTCGGACTCCAGACTGGAGGCGTACTGACAGACATCTACTGTTGCTAACACACCGACTATAGATAAGTACTTCATACAACCCCACTTCAAAAAATCTGAACTGTCCATTTAAGCTTTAAACACCAACAAACAGGAAAATAGTGTAAAACTGTGAATTTGTCGACTGTGAAACATACGAGCATCTTTGTCAGTTCCGCTTCTTGATGTGTTATCCATGAAAAACTCGTTGTTTATGATCACACAGAGACCGGTAGGCTGGCTGTTCAACTCATACTGCTCATCCTGAAAACAGGAAACGGTTTGGCACAAACACATAATGAAAAAAACTAACCATTACAATAATTCATGCTCAAAGACTTAAAAATCTAATGAGGTATGACTTTATGACAGAGCTGATACTTTATTTGTTAATACAGGATAATAAGCATGTCTTGTGTCTCTTAAAAACTGAGGTAGGCAGAAATCTGGAAGAGGGCAAAGAAATCCCAGCAGAATTTAAAAATGCATCCTCCTCCTGCAGCTCCCCCCAGCACTGTTTCCAATACACTGATTTATTCAGCTAGTAGTGAACAGCTCATTCACTCAGCCCCTCTTTGCCTGCTCTCTCTCTGTTTAAAGTCCAGTTCAGATTAAAGAGTCACAACGAGATGAAACTGTTTTAGGCCCCGATCACACAGAAAGTGTTTTGCTGGTTGAGAAATGCGAGGCGTGTTGCACTGCCTGCTTTTTTTTTTTTTTTTTTAATTGAATGCCACTATGGGAAAAAAAACAAAAAAAACAACAACGCTTGCTGTGCCTTTTTATTGTTGCCAAGCAACCATGGACTCACCTCCTTATTCTAACCTTCCTCTAACTTTGATTTATTTAATTTAGTTCTTTAATAGTAATTTGTATCTAGTTTCTAAAATGTTGAGGCAGAGGGAAGTTGCTGTAGCTCTGGTTGAGGGTGAGAGGCTGTCAGTAAACAGTTAGCTGGGCACAGGGAAACAGAGATCTGTGTGGGTACATGAGACCCTAAAAAGAAGGTGGATCATGGGGAGTACCACCATTTGGTCCAGGAGCTTCTCCTTCATGATGGCTGTGTCCAGGCATATTTAAGGATGACTCGGGGGCAGTTTGACAACCTGCTGTCTGTCGTCGGGCCGTATAGCTCTGGGTATCCAGCAACAGCTACCACCAGTTTCTCCTCCATTGTTTGCCAACTGTAAACTTGTTATCGTGACTACCACAGAAGGCCTGCCTCTCAAATCACCCGATTAGACAATGGGAAAAACGATGACAAAACAACATCTGTATAAACCTTTTGATGATGTAATAAGAGTGCGACCCACTGCTGGAAGATTTAAAAAGTAGCTATTTGTAGTCAGCAGCTAACTCAAAGAAGAAAAACAGCAGTCGAAAATGTCCGCAAATTGGGAAAAACAATGAGGTCCAGGAGCTCCTTACCCTCTGGCTCCGGTTAGCATAAGGCTAATGTGTTAGCAAGATTTTCTCTCCATTTCTGAAACACTTTGCTGATATTTTTTTCGTTTAGAGTCTCTTTTTTAAGAGTCTGTCTTCCTGTTTTGGGTACCTTTGCAGTGTAGGCAGTTGATGCCAATGCTGGAATAACAACTTTCTCCTCAGGATTCTCCACCATTGGATCAGGCTTTCACTAAAGGGACGCACATCTGCATTTTGAGAACAGACAAAAGGAACGCCCTCTCTCTGCAATGACCTCCCATCAGTTTTCAAAGTTATGTTTAAAGTTTATGATGGGATTATTATGTTGTTATTTATTTATCCTTATTATAGAGTTTATTATGGGTTTTCTTGCCCACTAACCCCCAAATTAAATGCCTGCCTCAGCTTTAACAAAGCCTAATTAAAAACACAGGCTCAAGCATTTGTTATTTCAGCATCAGTTAAAACCCTCACCTCCTTTCGCCTCTTGTTGTCTCGTGGCAGAACATCTGAGGAAATCAGAGGGAAACAGAGTTACACCTCCAAACATAAAACCTCTAAGACTTAATGTGAAACACACAAATGGCTGGCACATGAGTCATATCTATGCCATAACTTAACTTACCACTGTTGTCGTCAACTGAAGCAGCCTGGACAGGCATAGGTAAAAGGCAGGGGTCATTCAGCTGTATGTTCTTCAGCTCCGGGAAAGTTGTTTTAATGTCGTCATCAGTTTGCAGAAGGTTCAGGAAGGCTTGGCAGCTGTCTTCTCCTTTGTTCATGATCTTATCCACCAGCTCAACGACGTGACCCTCTACATCTTCTTTGTTGATGCTTTTAAGGTTGTTGTACTCACGACTAGTTATCAGGTTGTTCTCATGAACTTTGTTGAGGACAAGCCTGTGGTCTCCACACAGAGTCGTCTGGATGGTTGTCTTATTACGTCTCACTGTGTCTTTGGCTGACATGCTGAATCTGACATTGAGGAATAGAGACAAAAAGAACGAGTTTCAGGGGCGAAAATCCCATTTCATAGTTGGGGGGGACAATAAACAGTAAAATTTTAGAGAATAATTCCGGGGGGGGGGACAAGGAAAAAAAGTTGTAGCCTGTCTTTTATACAACATCTTTTACCGCAATTTGACGCTTTAATCTTTTCTCTATCTCTCCAACAGGCAGGCATAGGACCTTTCTTAGCACTGGCTGAGTCCACCTGCACATGTCCAGATTTAAAACAAAATGATTGAAATCAAATTAACATGTACACAACGACAACAGTCAGGTGCGCCGTGCTGTCCAAGGTGCTGAGTGTGTCTGGAGAAGAGCAGGTCTCTGTCTCCCCGTGCGCAGTAGTGTGAATATTTATGCTATTAAGTAAACAGAGAAAACATGTCTCTCATTGTTTAATAGCAGCAAAACAATAAGGCTTCATTCATCAAAGACAGAAACTCTCTCCTTCTCTCCCTCTTTTTCATCTGGCTCAGGTGTGTGGAATGGATCCTTCATCAGTGGCTGGCTGCAGGAGCAAACCGTTTTGTTTGTTTTTTTTCAGGTTTTTTACCGGCAGTGAGATAAACATTTCCTGCAATTAAACTGGTGAACTGGTTTATAAACAGTGTGCTGTGAGATCTGCCACTGCGCACCTCAAAAGTGTGCGTAATAGTCGTGCGTAAAAGCCTGAGCCTGGGGCTTGTTGTAACAGTAAATGGGATGTGTTGTAACTTGTGTAAGTTAAACTGTATCTGTGTGAGTGTACATCTTACCCGGTGATGCACGATGTGGGAAACGGTTCCAGCCACACGCTGCAACTGCTGCCAAGTACTAACGGCTGCTAGCCCTGCCTGTTGGAAAGAGTGTGGGATATACCACTACTAGGAATGGGAGGGGGGGACTAAATCTTTTAAGATTTAAATAGCACATTATTGCGCGATTATAATGAGCACCGCTTACATTGTGCTTTTAATAAATACTACTGCATTGTTCAAAAATTATTAATTGTGTCTCAAATTATTCTAGGGGGGGACAGCTTTACTGAAGGGGGGGTCATGTCCCCCCTGTCCCCACCGGGATTTCTGCCCCTGATGAGTTTAGTAAAGCACACCAGTCAGTGCTGTTTTTTTTTGGTTGATACAAACTGTGAAAGATTTTTGTAACATATTGTGACAGTACGATTAATCATTTTGTACTTTACTCATGAGTAACATAGTAACAGAGTTTTAATAACAGTATTGGTCAACAATACTGACCATTTCGTTACAATGCCATGCTCTGCTGGGAAACCTTTGGTCCTGGCATGGATGCCACTTGAAGCACTTCACTCATCCAAACACCGCTGCGGACCCCACTTCATGGCAATAACACTCCTCGATGGCAGGGCCCCTCCCTCAGCAGAACATGCACCATTCCTCACCACAAACAATTGCCCATGGAACATGACAAAAAGTGCAAGGCATCAACCTGGCCTCCAAATTCCCCAGATCCCAATCTGATCAAGCATCCATGGGACATGCCAGTACCCCACCTAACAACTGACAGGTCTCAAAGGATCCACTGCCAACGCCCCAGTGCCAGACTCCAAAGCACACCCCAGAGGTCCCATGTCCATGCCTTGGCATATCAGAGCCAAGTCCGTACCAAAAAGGCCCCACTTTGGATTGGGGGTACCTCTGGGGTACAGGCACGTCCCACGAATACTCAATCAGATTGGGACCTGGGGCATTTGGAGGCCAGGTCGATGCGTTGAGCTCTCTGTCACATTCTTCAGGCCACTCCTCACTAGCTTTTCTGTGTGGCATGGCGCATTGCTCTGCTTGGGGGGCCATTGCCATCAAGGTGCATTGTTGCCATCAAGGGGGGTGTACTAGGTTCACAGCAGTGTCAAGTGAGTGGTATCCACATGAATGCCAGGAGCCAAAAGTTTCCCAGCAGAACATTGCACTGAAACAAAATGGTCAGTGTTATTCACTAACCTGCCAGTGGTTTTAATGCTTTGGCTGATCAGTGTATACATATATTGCATATTGTCCAGCCCTCCAAAAAACTCAATGAGTAGATTCTCATGAACAACCTACTACATGCATATATGCAACACATACAGTTTCTAAATACTTATCCAAATTGTATGCACAACTTAACCGTCATCACTCATCAAGCACGCCTGTATCCAAACAAGTCAACACGTCTTTAACATATAGTTAACTAGCTAGCTGAAATTCCTGCTAATTTGGTTTTGTATTTTGGGATCAGGTCCTTCAAACTGACGTTAGTAACGTTACAGTCTGAGCGGAAGTAAACCATTTCTACGATTATGGCATAATAATTATCACAAGTTAACTTGGAAACTCTCGCACAGCTCCAACAATAATAAAGTGATAATTACATAAAGCTTTAGTCACTTAAGGTCAGAAGTCTTGTCTCCACTTTAGGCGGACTGTACCTGGAAGATCCCGTGTCCTCGTGTCCTCGTGTCCGTCACAGCAGCAGCAGCAGCTTTCGTTTTCAAACCTCGGAGGTCAGAGATCCGTCTGAAGGTTTTGTTTGATACCCGAGGAAACCTGGCGTCTCTGCAGGATTACAAGTAACTTCTACTTAATTCTGCATTCATACACTCAAGTTTTATCTGCCGTGTGCAAGCGATGCCTTGGGTCAGTCAGTTACAGTGAACTGACAATGGACAATGGAGGTGCGTGAGTGTGGTGCTTGACCACCACCTAGTGGAGGAGTGGTGCTATCTTACTGTTGGCTGTGGAGTATTTACAGGAGACAGGAGTCAAAGCGAGCTGGGCTCAATGCTGCCTGTACAGGCTGTTGATGATGAACAGCAACCATGTTCCATGTGAGAAACATAACGTGTAAAATAACCTCCAACCATGTTTATTGTGCTCCTATAAATGAAGCTGTTTTCAGAGAGAAATACGTCTGTCCCTGGTGGTCTAGTGGTTAGGATTCGGCGCTCTCACCGCCGCGGCCCGGGTTCGATTCCCGGTCAGGGAACTTCTTTTTTTTTTTTTTTTTTGGCCTCCGCTGAGCTAGTAAAGTAGCATCACTCAGAGACGCATGTGGCGGCTCCTAAGCCTGTGGTGGTTTTTGAGGACCACATTCTAAGCAGAACCACATGATCACATGGATCCTTTAAAGGGATACGTTGGATTTTTGGCAGTGGTGTTGTATGAGGAACTTATCAACAGTAGGGTACTCTCTACAATAGATGCCGGTTGGCATGCCCCCAGTTTATTTAGCCACCAAAAAAAAATCACTATCAGTTTAAGTGGATGCTGTATTTAGAATACCTTTAATGCTTTAGTATATAGTGTTGCACATTGTAGCGTAATACACATTTTTTATACTTCTAAATTTTACATACTAATTTTATATACTGTAACATAGCGTAACACACATACTGTTATATCTTTATATACATATGTTTATACACTAGACATATAAAGTGTCAAACACTAACATCATTACCTCCGCCAAGGAGGTTATGTTTTCGCGGGTGTTAGTCTGTTTGTCTGTTTGTCTGCAAAATAACTCGAAAAGTTCTGAACGGATTTTCATGAAATTCTCAGGAAAGTTGATAATGGGAGAATAAACAGATGATACAATTTTGGTGGTGATAGGTTGAAGAGAAGTGGATAAAATAATAAAATGGCGGGAATCCAAGCTGGTTGGTGGAGGCCTGCGCTCTCCGAGTGCTCTAGTTTTTAAAATAGTTTTATGTACTTGTGTAAATATATATATATGTAGTGTGTATCAGCCATATCAGTGTTATCAATTTTTATTACAAAGTGTCTGATTTGGTAAAGATCAAAATTTTTAACATTTTAAATAAAGAAATAAAAATAAATAGATATGTAAATTATAAATCAATTTAATATTTAAAAAATAAAAAATTAATTAAAATAAAATAATAATAAAAACCATAATAATAATAATAACTCAAATGTTTCCAGTTTCACAAAAAAAAAACCTACCAGATTTATTATTAAAAGTTATTGACTGAGTCTTGGTGTACTTGTAGCCTACCTTGTGTTTGTGTGTGTGTGTGTGTGTATTTCTCATCAACACATTGCTTTGGACGTAACCAGAAAAGCCGAGTAGCCTACAAAGTGTTTAAAGTGTTTAAAGTGTTTCGATGTTGCGGTGTATGTATGAGAAAATAAAGAAACAGGAAGAACCCCTTTGTTTCCTGAAGCTTTGTACAGTACATGACGTCATGCTTCTTCTTTCCACAGAAATGTGTCTTCAGACAGCACTGACAGTAAGTGACTGTGGAGGAGCAGGCGGAGGTAACAACTTTTGAGTAACGCTATCTACGATCACAGAAATGTAATGTGTAGCTGCTGTAGGAGGATTATTTGTTAGATTATATTTATAAGCAGCTAACACCTGTAATATCTTACCATAGGTTTATCCATTTAGCACTTTTGAGAGAGGGTAGTATAGCTGATTGTGTAGGCTAAATAAAACAAAACACCGCTAACTTTTTCTTGCTTTTCTTTTTAGTGTGTGGAAAAATGTAAAAGCTTTTGTAGGCAGTGGATATGTATATGTTGTTAAAACTCACATTTTAATATAAGCGAGACGAGAATCAAGACTCATTTTAGAGAGCTGTTTGTTTGTTTGTGTTCGATTACCCACTGAGATGTCTTACCAGATGTTGTTCACTAAATTTAGGCTTTTAAAAAGGGGAAGTATAAACAGTCAAGAAATAAGTTAGTGTGGACTGATACGACAGCTTCTTCAACCTACACAACATGCTGTATGCTCAGGAGTGTGTGTTTCTGTATGTGTGAATCCCCCAGGTTGGTAATGGAACTGCTTCCTCTCCATCCAATACTTTGGTCCGGTCTTCTGGTTTTGTGTGCCTCACAAAGTGGTGTGTATCTCTTGACATGACTCTCACACACACACACACACACACACACACACATACTTAATGGATATACATTAATGAATGTTGGACTACAGGTATTACTGTAATGTCGCATCTTTAGAGCACCAGTTTGATTCGTCAAATACTTCTGGCTATCTTGTTTTTATCAGGGTGGTGTTGCAATTTCTGCTTTTCTTGTTTACAGTATTCGAGGAAACCAGCTTCCTGCACCCAGTAAAGGGAAATGACTCAGAAAATGTTGACATATTAAACCAGTGGATCCCAACTGGTGGGTCACAGTCCAGAGGTAGGACGCAATTTTTTTTTAAGTAAAGTGAATTTCTGGTACAGAGCTTTAATTCTGACATGCTGTAGAATGAGTGACTGACAGACAGCTAGTTGACAGAGACAGGAAACTAGCTCTACGACATGGCCAAACGCAAATATGATGCTGACTAAATAAACCTGTGTGGATCGCAAACTAATGACTGAGGAGAAATGTGGACCCCGTGGCTGGTCCAGTTGGGAACCACTGTATTAAGGCCTCGATCACACAGAAAGTGTTTTAGCAGCTGGAGGCGGTCTTTTGTAATTGTTTTTAATGAGAATTCAGCTTTTTGCTCACTATTTTTGCATTGCGACGTGCCTCGCATTTCTGCTCTCTAGGCACCTGGGACCATATTCACAAACTTTCTGAGAATACTCCCACAGAGCTCCTAACTTAGCCTAAAAACTTTTAGTAAGGAGTTTAGGGGTGATGTAGGAAAGTTCTCAGAGGAACTCTGAGCGAGGAAGAGACAGAAACTTGTATCTTAGTGAGGAGGTGTGGTTGACTCTGTTGCTAGGTGTGATGCTTTCTTCTGACAGGTGTGATTGGTTGTCACAGACACACCCCTTTGTGAGCCTGCAAGATGTGGGGACACCCAGTGGAAATGAAATTGACTGCATCACCATATGAGATTGATAGTGTTGTCTGTTAGAGAGAGAGAGAGAGAGAGAGAGTCAGATATGAGAGAGAGAGAAATGGCTACAGGTTGGGGGTTGCAATTCACACATACAGAAAGAGAGAGAGAGGGCGGGTGGTCGAGATAAGTGGGAGGGACAGCAGCTGCTGTCCATGCCTGCAAAAAATATGCCCTATTCATTCAGTGTTTACCCAACACGTTCAATACATGGACATGCAATGACAAATTGTCATTAACTTATTACGTTATAAAAAACGATGAAAATATGGACTTACCCATGTTTAAAATGACCTGGTGAAGTGAAAAAACGAGTACTGACGGGAACAGACGAGTGGAGTCGATGTTTAACCGGCGCAGAGAGCGCAGGAGAAATGCGCTGCCTGTGTGGACAGTCAAGCGCGGCACTAACGCGCTCGGTGTGTCCTTAGCGTTAATTGTAACGCCAACTTATTGAAAAATGTCGGGTTTAAATCGGGCTCAGGCCCATGATTGCAGTTAATTGGACGGGCCAGGCCGGTCTCGGACATAACGTGCACTGGCTTGGGCCGGGTCGGGCTGAATTTTTTGGGCCCGATCTAAGCTCTAGTCTGTTAGTGTGATCACTCTGCTGATGGAAGGTTGAGACAGACCCAAGTCATCACTGCTGCATTGTTTCATGTTTCCAGTTATTCATATAGCCTAATGCTATTTATCAGTCTAGATTGTTTTGGTGTGAGTTGCCGAGCAATGGAGATAACTGCTGTAGAGATGTCTGCCTTCTTTCCAACATAATGGTGTTATATTCTTGTGTGGTGTAAGAATAACGAGTCTCACTTGGTTTCAGTCTTGCATGAAAAAATAGCTGCCGTTTACTTCGCTGTGCCATTTGTACCGCCAACGCAAACACATACACGTAAAGCTCAACAACCCTGACGTAGAACGTTGTGATGTCGTAAAACAGAATAGTGTCTTACTCATACATAACAAATGGAACTGTATGGCACTTGGCTAGTGGTGCTCAAAATGCATGTATTGCTGGCTCACCTAGCACCACTGTGCTAGCTAATGTTAAAGCTCCAGCCTCTTGTCCATGAGTAGATGCAAGGTTCCCTCTGTGCATTGATACAGTTGGCAGGAGTTGTTTGGTAGAAAGAAAATAGTTCCTACATGAAACTGCTCACAACAAGGTCTGTGGATTATCTTGAGTAACCAGGTCATGATTTCTGGAAAGAGACATTGATGTTGAGTTTTTCAGATGTATTTTTTTGGCACTTTGAGCACCACAAGCTGAGTGCCATCTAGTTCCATTATATTGGAGAGAAGACAGACATCTCTACGGCTGATATCTCCAACACTGTGCAACTCACACCAAAACAGTCTAGACTGATAAATAGAACTAAAGAAGAAAAATATGTATTTTGGATTTTGGGGTGAACTGTCTCTTTAAGCATGGTGCACTGCAGAAAAGAAAGTGCAACGTGTTTTAAATTTTGATAGACTGGCACTGATGTTCAGACTGGTCTGCAGGTGACTGTGTGTCAAATGAGAACTTGATGGCTTCTAATTATGTTTTCTCTCGTGCTATAACTCTTCATGTGTGTCCTCTTTTAATAGAGACGGAGGCCAACAGTCAAGATGTCTGCCAGCTGGAAAAGATTCATGGCGATGTGAGAATCAAAATGTTATTTCAACATCCAGAGGCCACACAGGCTCGACAAAAGCTTCCTGCTTTAATGAAGATTACATTTTTGATTTCTATAGTCTGTTCTTTATGTTTGAACTGTTTCAGATATATCCAGAGAGTACTTCAAAGGAGGGACATTATGTAGAGGTGTCTGAGGTGAATGATAATTTTCACTGCCTCCTTTATCCAACAAATACACTGAACTGCTCCTGGTCATTCCACACTCTACAGAAGGACACGCAGCTCTTTGTCCATATCAGGTATTCATATTTTTTAAATGACACATAAAGCTTTGATGAATACTTATTGAAATAAATGTACACTTATAAAACCGGCATTTAAAAATTATAATATAGAGTGTTAATTTCTGTCTCTGTCTTTTCAATCAGTATTTGTGATGATGAGAGAACAGTTTGCTCTCTGAATGCTTCGCCTGGGGAAAGAGTCGGATCGAGTTCCTTACGTCTGCACAAACATGGGAGCAGTGTAATCCTCCACTTTAACTTAACCCTGCACCACGAGTGGACGGTCTACATCTGTGCATACGACATGGACATGATAGGTAACACTCCAAGGCAAACACTGAGTAGTTGCTGAGGTCTTCATGTGAATCATTAAAATTGTGGCTGAGTTGTGGCTGGTTTTGAGGCTCATGCAACCACTGTTCATACTGTGAAGAGTTTTATTACTGTTACTATAAATGAAAGGATGTTTTGCTGCCTCTTGCAGCAGCTGTACTTTAGTTTTTATATGACATACACTTTTAGTAATGAGTGGATCTTCAAGTGTTTATATATATTAATTTCGACCAGATTATGCGAACTACATATATTCTAATCCTCACTCTGAGAAAAAAATAGCAGCGCAGAGCGTTGTTCCTGTGGAGTCCGGCCACACTAAACCCCAGAGCTTGCCTGAGAAGGACAAAATGCACAAACCTGCTATTTTTAAATATCCCATGGAGATAGACTCTCACTGCAGCCTGTTTTATTTTGTTCTGAAAATCTCGGTGTGCAGCCTCATTCTGTGGACGATAAAAGAGGCGCAGACTTCCCTCTGTGTCTACGGTAATGAGGAAATACGGTGAGTTCTGGACAGAGAAGTGAGTGACACCATTCCCGCCCACATGAAAGAGTAGGTTTGTAGTGGAAATGCCAGGGTCTAGGTACCATGTCTGGTAGGTAACTTTTGATTCCAAAGGTACCATACTGAAATGGTTTGGAGTCACCAATCAACCTGCATGTCTTTGGACTGTGGGAGGAAGCCACAGTACCTGAAGAAATCCAAGCTGACTCGGGGAGAACATGTAAACTCTGCACAGAGGGCTCCCCCACCCTAGGTCCAAACCAAAAACCCTCTTGGAGAACCCTGTGAGGTGACAATGCTAATCACTGCAGCACCGTGCCGCTGCTGTTGGATCAGCAAATAGAAAAAGAGACTCCTTGTTGAATGACGCTGTCCAGGATTTAGCCAAGTTTCAGTGAAACAAAGGATATTTCAGTTCCTGATATCCCGTTGGAAACTGATGCAGCACAGATGTGGTCCAGTTTATTTTACAACACCTGTACAATAGCTGGCAGGATGCTGGTTCAGTTGGTGCCCATCTTCTTCACCTTTTCCTTGATGTGTACCGACTCCTTTGCTTTGAAAGGGACAGGTTGAGTTTGTTCAGGCATCTGATCAGAATGCCTCCTGGGCACCTCCTGTTAGTTTTCCTGGCCTGGGAACACCTTGGGATCCCCCTGGAGAAGCTGGAAAATGTTGCTGGGGAGAGGGATGTCTGGGGCACCTTGCTCAGCCTGCTGTCCCCGGCGAACCGGCCAGGCATAAGTGGATGGAAAGGGACAGATGGATGGATGTTTGAACTGACTGATGAGTCACTTTCCTTGTTCTGATAAGTGACGCACAGCCACTCTAACACCAACAACAAAAAGCACCACCAACACTTACTAAACAGACAACTCCTCCCCCTGTCTCTAAGGGCTGAGCCAAGCCACCCCACAGAGGAAACTCATTTTGGCCACCTTTATCCACAATCTCATTCCTTTGGTCACTACCTAGGTTGGTTTTGTTTGCAGTTTTTAATTTCTATTTAATTATTGCCATAATTGAATTAAAACTGGCTTAATAAATCAACTGAAAGACTGAACTTTGAATAAAACAATAGTGAAAGCTCCCCTCTCGCCCCTTCAAGGCATAAAATAGTTTAGTCCATCCTTGCACTTAGATTCTTTTCTATACCCAGAGTGACTGAATTCTTATGCTGCTGGAGCACTAACGTACACCATCATGTCTTTCCACAAAAAAGAAAAATTGGGGTTCCAAAAAGGAGAAGAAAGAAAGCAAACTGACTTTGTTAAAAAAAAAAAAAAAACTTCAAAAGGTGCATGAGATAGACATGTATCAAGAGAGAAAGGGCACCCACAGAGACTGCTTATGCAGGGGACTTAGAATATGGTGCCCCACTCCTGGTTAGTCCACCCGCAGAGATCATAATTTTTTTTTTTTTTTTTTTGGTTTTAACCGAGAAACTGTGGTTTCCTGTGACAGTCCTGTGTACAAAACAGTCAGTCAGATTCCAAGACCTGGACCCTAGCAACTTAGGGTGCTTTCAGACCTAGAGTTGTCTTGCTTTGGTCTGAATCAGGGACTATTTTTTTTTTTTTTACAAAATTGCACAATTGCCTAGAGGTGGTTTGTGTTCTCACTGCAGCATGTACAAGTGGACCAGGTAAAATGCCTGCACCAGGAGGCTGCTCTTGATTGGTCAGAAATTGGCTGGAAAAATCCAGGAAGTAAACAAAATATTGAAGACGCCTGCAAGATAAATGTGACAATTTCTAATGTCACAATGGAGGGACAGCTACACAGGTTGATTTTAGCGCTGGTCATCGTGGACTATATTGCTGTCATTGTTCATTTTAGTCAAACCATACAGTTTGAAAACGAGGCGCGGCTCCAACTAGAAAACAATGTTTTGATGCATTGGATGTGCTGAATGTGCATATTAAGGCAGTACAGGAGGAGGTGCACATTAATAATCCTCCAGGACTGTAACATGCTCATGTTTAACCCAAACAATGTGTCATGCGACTGCAGTTGGTTCGGATCACCTCTTCAAGAAGGTCTCAGCCTGGTTGTTTTGATAAGCACCTGAGTTCAAATGAACCAAACCAAACAGGGCAGGTGTGAAGCACCCGTCGACTGTGGTCACATTACAAGCAAATGTGGTCCAAATCTGATTTGTTGCTCTAATGTGACACAGATCTGATCTTTTTAGAGTAGTGTGGACACAAAAATCCGATATTTTTCCAATCAGACCTGAGCCACTTTCATATGTGTTCTTAAATCTGATACATATCTGATCACTGGCCATGCCATGGCTGTGAGAACGCTCATATTGGAACTCATGTGGGTTTTTTCACCTCATACTTCACTGTGCAGAAGGTGATCACTCACCATACAGTGTCGGAGCGGGCCGTTGAAACCACTGAAGCCATAAAGCTGCTGCAGTAGGCTGCCCTATTCACCAGGCGATAGAGCTCGACTCCCAGATGCTTTCTGACAGGGACAGCTTGCCTACATGCCATGACAGCATTGTAGTGATGGGTTCTTCCTCGGCCAATGCTACATCCTTCCACCAAGTTCCATGAAAATTGGGCCAGCAGTTTTTCTGTAATCCTGCTGACATACAAACAAACCAAACCGAAAACATATCATCCTTGTCGGAGGGAATAAATCAAATATCTCAACAGAAATTGTGATAATCAGGTAAATCAAATATTAAATAAGTAAATGAACTCACAGGACGCACACATCATGGCTGAGGTCAGCCTCAGCCCCTTAAGGCTGAGGCTGGGGACCTTTGTCACTTAAATTAAAACTTTATTCTTATGACATTATGACCCTGCTCTTAAAACCTATAGTTAGGTACATAAATTAATTTGCTAAGCTTAGACTGGAAGTTGTAGAGAGTCCACAGCATCCCTTCAACATGAATGATCAATTATTTAACTAACTTTGTGGTTGTGTGTGTCACAGAGGTCCTGTCTCCACCCCAGAACATCAATGCATCAGTTAAAGATGGAGACCTGTTGGTGACATGGGATCTGCCCCACAGTCGAGCAAACTCTAACCCCTCGTGCTTTGAATACCAGCTGGACATGGGTGACCAGGTACGGTATGTCTGTGTGTATGGATACAGATGTTGATTATTCCATATCACATATACCATTTAGTGCGTTATTTGGTGCACGTAAACAAGACAAAGTTTCCCTGCTTCCCATCACTGCTTCCCTACAGCAGGGTCAGTCTTTTTCTCACTGTTATAATCATTAAAAAGCAAAAGCAGCATGTGTATACATTCAGTAGGCTATATCTTCAGTAGCTAGCTAGCTAACCCTACAGTGAAAACTGTCTGATTTTGGATTTGGAACAGGGAAGAAACGTTTATCTTTTTCCAACCTCTCCAGGTAACGAGTATCATTAATACATGACGTGCCCCAGGCACAACATTTAGCTCCAAATCCACAAAACCAGCCTGAAAATGAAGGAAATCTGAAACGATTGTATTAGAGTCAATGGAGCACAGCTGTGTTGTTGTCAGACTCTGGTCTGAGCCAGCCCAATCCTACGTTATGATTGGCAAGTCTGCAGGGGCGGGACTTAGCAAGGGGTCAATTCTGTCTACAGTCTCCCAGGAAATGAAGGCTCAATTTACGGCACAAAAGAACTGTGTTTCTGTGGTAGTTATCAGCAGCTATCCCCAGTTACCAGAGAGTATCAATGTCAGTTCTTTGCAGTCACTTTCCCCATGAGTAAAAAAGGTGGATGGTGAAACAACCAAAGTAACTAAAAGGAAACAAGAAGGAAGGAGAATTGTTGCAAGGCTCTGAGGATACCACAAAGTGATCCGGTTGTCTTTGCAACAGCGGCGCCAACAATCATACCAATTAGAAACGCAATAGCTGGGAAAAAGTTGAAAACTTGTTTGTTTCCACATTAAGGCAATAACAATAAACATTAAAACTAAATAAGATTGACCTACTCAGTGTTTTCTGCTGAATCTTTATCATTTTAATACAGGAAAGACCCAGAAATGTGACCGAGGGGCTGTCTTATACAGAGCCCAATGCAAATCCTACCTGCACCTACAGTGTGAGGATGAGGGCGAGAAAGAAAAGCGACTGCCAAGAAGCTACTCAATGGAGTGACTGGAGTCACACCGTCAGTAAGTGCCGTTTGTTAAAGTTGTCTCTAATAGTGGTCTAACTAAAGGCTGATGACTTTTTATTTTCTCCATCCATCGGTCGACATCTTTAAGTCTGAGTGCACTGTTATATATTTAGTATAATTTATATGTGTGTGTCTGATTTCAGCGGTAGAACAGTCGATATACAAACTCAACACTGTGGTGATCATCTTAATATCACTTGGAATACCCATGATCCTCCTGGCTGTGCTGCTGCTGGTGCGCTATCAGAGGTATTGTAACTAAAGGGGATTTATACTTGTGCCGCAGACCCTACACTGTAGCCTACAGACGTGGCCTGTGCTGTTGTGAGCATTTAAAGTTGTGTGGTGGTGTGTCTGTGTCACTCTGCAGTTACACCTCCAAAACACTTGCCGGTGGCAGTGTTTCTGTGAAATGACGAAAAGTTTAGTCAATTCAGAACACACATTAAACACACATTAAACATGGCTTAATAGCGATAATTTCAAACACAAGTACACAAATCAGCTTCACTGTAACTCACAGCATTCAGAGACAAAGCACTTGTCTTTATCTGGACACATTTCTCCCACCAATACAACATGCTAATGTTTTTAGCGCAAGCCTATGGCATTTTACATTGTATAAATTAGCCTAGCAGCTAGCAGACTTTTCCTCTATCCACATGAAGCCAGGGACAACAGCAACATTTAACAAAGGTAACGTTACAAAATTCGGCTCAATTACAACTCACAAGGTTCACTGACAAAACAACTTTCTTATACTAAACACATTTTACAAACAAGTATAAGATGCTAACGTTATTAGCACAAGACATTTTACATTGTATAAATTAGCCTAGTGATGAGCAGAGATTTCCTCTGCTCATATGGAGCCAGAATAAATCACACACAAGACTTATAATGCTATTTTTGTGGGGGTTTTATTGACGTTACAATATATTGTTTCTTATCAGTGTAATTTAAGTAAAAAGCTTTGTTTCCACTGAGGGAAATGGTTTCAGCTTACAAAAATAGACAGGAGGTCTGCAACGCTGAGCCTGTAGTTACATTTCTGGGGAGGCGCACGTCAGGCTACGGTGTGGGCTCTACATCAACGCAGAGCCTCACACATGCACACATCTTCTCACAGCCTTCTTATCTCTCTTCACACCTGATTTTTTTGTATCTGCCTAAGATGTTTCTAATCTGGTAACAAACTCTGTTCTCTGTTCAAATGTGAAAGGGCGACAGACAGCAAAAATGACCCTGAAGTCACCAGAGGCGGTTAGATTAAGTGAAAAAACAGAACAGAAAGGAGAAGTGAGAGGTGTGAAAAGGTGGTGGTCTTTTTGCTGAAAAGCCACGGCAAAACATCCACGCTAAACTTCCTTCAGGCTCAAACAGAAATCCCCGTTTGAGTTCCAAAAATAGCCAAACAGGGGAAAAACACAACATAAAGAAAATGCAAAACGAGATAACGGAAGGATGCACTTCTTCTTTCTGTGGCAGTTTCACTTTGACAGACAAAATATTTATCAAAATCACTTAACCGATGCAAATGGCATGAGGATGAGTTTAAAATGTGTACCGACATTTGTGCTTAGAGGAACAGTTCATCCAAAAATAAGACCATTTGTATATCTATTACTGTGTCACTGTAGGCTGTATATAAAGATGGATGACGTGTCTCATAGGGGTGGGCGATATGGCCCTAAAATAACATCACAGTATTTAAGAGGTAGATAGAACAACAGTAACTCAGAGTGAGATTCAGATTCTGTTTACAATATTAATAATTCAACAAAATAAAATCTACCACAAATTACACATTTAAACAGCATCCATATGCAAAAAATGTCCCCTGGGATCTATATATATAAATCAACAGGTGATTCCCTTCTTTTAGTAAAATCCTAAATGACTGAGTTGTTTTTTTTTTCCCACCTGGACCGCGAGCGTCACATAGGTTTACATTACCAAAGGTTTATCACAAAATCACTTGACGACACAGACTCCTGTGTGCGCACTGCGCACGGCGAGAAAGGAGAGGGAGAACGAGGCTGAAGTTGGTACCTTATTCACAGCCTCTTATTGGAATTTTCCAGTCCACCTTAAAAGTGTCATTACACCTGTAGATGGCGGTATTCAGTTGTTTTCCAACTAATTCATGAACTGACGACGCTGAAGTTAGCTTCCGATTCGCCAGCTTCCGATTCGGCACTTAAGGGGAAAGTTAAGGGGAAATTAACTTAATGTGCAGTGCGACTGTTTGTCCACTGATTATCTGTTTTTTGTGACACTTCTTGATGTGAAAACATTTTAGACATTTTAGGAAAGACATTAACTTTGCCTGACACCCACTATTGTATTTGAGAAACATTTATTTTATTTGTGAAAATGTTAAAGGGGATATTTCACCGTTTTTGTTTTATACCTAGACCTCATTAGACCAGGTCCAGATAAAAAAAAAACCCCACTGTACCTAGACTTGTGAAAATGCAATAAAGACACATTTCCCCATTTTTTCAGCATACAGACCACAATAGACTGGGTCCAGATCAAAAACATCTGTAACCAAGACTTCTCAAATCTGGCCTAGATTATCCTACAGAGGCTAAACGTTCATTCAGACACAGTTTTTGATTTGTGAAACCTTTATTCTATTTGGCAATGGACCTGGTCTAATGAGGTCTAGGTATAAAACAAAAACGGAGAAATATCCCCTTTAACATTTTCACAAATAAAATAAATGTTTCACAAATACAATAGTGGGTGTCAGGCAAAGTTAATGTCTTACCTAAAATGTCTAAAATGTTTTCACATCAAGAAGTGTCACAAAAAACAGACAATCAGTGGACAAACAGTCGCACTGCGCATTAAGTTAATTTCCCCTTAAGTGCCGAATCGGAAGCTAGTTGGAAAACAACTGAATACCGCCATCTAAAGGTGTAATGACACTTTTAAGGTGGACCGGAAAATTCCAATAAGAGGCTGTGAATAAGGTGCCAACTTCAGCCTCGTAGAGGGAGAGACGCTGTGCTGCTGCCAGAGGAGCCGCTGAATGAGTTCCCTCTGAGCAGTAAGACACTAAAAGAGTCTGAGAAGTCCAGGGCTGCTCATCAAACAGTTTATTCCACACTGCTGAAGCTGCTCCTCTGTCTGGAACCACCACGGAGTCTGTAATAGTTTCGCTTTCAGCAATGCTTGTTGTTGCCGTGGGTAACAAGTCAAAATATCGCAAGTATTACAACATGAATTTTTCATTTGATATTAAAAATGATGCTGTTATTATCGTGAACGAGGTGATATGGCACACCCCTAGTCTCTACTGACCCCCCTGTACAAAAATTAAGCCAAAATATCCTGCATACGTCAGCTGCCACCAGTTCTCACCCATTCACCTGTTAGACCCATCGCAAGCAGAGCATTAATTGCAAGCACACCAATTGGCTCACACAGCTGTCAATCATGACGCCACAGCCCCTTTTTATAGCATCAAATAACTAATTAAAACCAAACTCATCACACAAGTAAACATTTGAACAAACAGCAGCATAACAAAAACTACCTGAAACAACAGAAACCATCAGTGGGGGGAAAAAAATGTATTTTAAGTGTATTTTGAGTTTGCAGTTTGGCCCCTGTCCCATCCTCTAACACAGGGTTTATGATCTATGCTGCTGCCAACCTCCAGGGGGTGATCCAAATATTCTGGCTTCACTTTTGGGGAGCTGTCATGTTGTCCATCTTTATTTTACAGTCCGTAGCCCCTTTTGCACAGAGATGACTCAATAGAGTGCTCCAGGGATGATGTTTTTTTTGTAGGCTAAGGCTGAAGTTAGGGTCGCCCCGGTTCCCTCATCAAAAAGCAGATGGGATTTTTCCATTCCATTTCCAGTCTTTGTTTTTGTTGACGGGCAGTGGTGGCTGGTATGTGATAAAATGTAAGTTTTGAGCCATGACTCCTTCTATTCTGGCTCCCAATAACACAACAAGATGACATTTAAAGACTCCTATGTAGCCTACAGCCCTGTGGTGGAGAGTATCAACCTAACGAGCCCTAAAAGGGTCTTTAGTCCAAGTCTCACTGGATAAATGAGGCTTGGATTATACTGCACGAGTTGTGTGAGAGTTTGTAAACTGATGCTTTGATATAGTTTTGCTGTTGTTTAACGCGGACCCTGTTTACTTCAATTCACAAAGAATGTTCACCTGTCTTGGGTTATCTGTTCTCTGTGGAGGCATGTGAGAAAAACATTCCTTTCTTCAAAAACACAAAGGTAACATGCAGTGACTAACTGACACACAAGTGGTCATTTTGTGGGTGAAGTATTATTTGTGTGTGTTTCAGGGTGTCTGAGGTTCTGTTTCCACCGATTCCTCGCCCCCCACCAAAGTACAAATATTTCCTGGAAAAAAATGACGCATTCAGTGTAAGTACACACTCATATTGCACAAACTGATATCACTCTCTTTACCACTCACCCAACCACAAACACGTGTACAAAGGGTGCCAATGTTTTGTCTTTTTTGTGTGTTGTGTTGTCTTCAGGTCTTCCACCCTGCCCCGTCAGCTGAGCCTGAGATCACAGAGGTGAGAGAAGGAGAGGAGCACACAGAGCAAAAATCTGGAAAAGTCATTATAAAAGCAATATAACGTTTAATGCCATGCACAGGTGCTTTGAATGCATGCAAAGTATGTATAGTTAGAGCTGGGTGATATGGACAAAATTCATATCTCTGTAATTTCAGGCTGAAAGGCGATACATAATATATATAGGCTACATGTTCAGTTGCAAGTAGCAAGCTGATCCACGGCTGAAGGCCCCTGTTAGTGTTACTGCATGTGTTTTTCCACAGCAGGGCAGGTAAAAGAAGTTTATCTGTTGGAGGTGAGCTGTTTGCAAAGGTGCAGTAAGAGCCTGTTGTCTGCAGCTCTTCATCAACATCTCACTGTGGCTGTTTATGATTTTACTTTCCTCGCTGCGGTATTATTACACTTGTCTTAATTGAAGAAAAGCCGCTAATAAAGTTCTGCTAATTCAGTGATAAACACATTTAATTTCCTATAAATTCTTCACAAGAAAAGTCCCTTGTTATTTTGTGTTGTAAAAACTTTTATTGTGAAGCAGCAAAATAAGGAAATGTTGAGTTTTCGAGCAGCAACTTCACATAACTTCTAACACAGCTGGTAGTGAACATGAAACAAAATAAAGCAGATGTCTGAGGTAAAAACAGGACGCAGGAGAGAAACTAAACTCCAAACCACAGAGATTCAGTCAGAAGCTATAAAAGTACTGAAAGACTTTTAAAAACGTCTTTCTCCCTGGTCTCCTGCAGACAGAGATGAGGAGAGTCTCACAACACACGGCTTGTTTGAGGGGGAGAAGGATGGTTGTCAGGAATTGGCTGTGGTCGGTGAGACTTGACTCAGTGTGGCCATAAGTGACAGTGGAAAAGGCCCACAGTATTGTACGTGTGCTGCTGTGGGAATTTCATTCATCTCACAGACTGATTTAGCATTGTTGTGCAAATTAAAGTCTGATGTCGCACTGTAGACAAATAACAGACAGATTTAACAGAGGAGCAGCTCTGTGTCTCTCTTAAGCAGGATTTATACTTGTGCAGCAGACCCTACACACGTGGCCTACGCCGTTGTAAGCATTTACACTTGTGTGGTGGTGTGTCTGTGTCTCTCTGCCATAACACTAGTTGGAGGTGGAGGTTTCTGTGAAGTACTGTAAAGTTTAGTTGATTCAAAACACACATTAAACACGGCTTAATAGAGACAATTTCAAACACAAGTACACAAATCACCTTCACCATAACTCACAGCATTCACAGACAAAGCACTTGTCTTTTGCTGAATACATTTTCCCCACAAATACAACATGCTAATGTTTTTAGCACAAGCCTATGGCATTTTACATTGTACACATTAGCCTAGCGATGGGCGGAGATTTCCTCTGCTCATATGAAGCCAGGATAAATCACACACAGGACTTATAATGCTATTTTAGTGGCTTTTTTGTCTTCACAAATTATTGTTTCTTATCAGTGAAATTAAAGTAAATAAAAGCTTTGTTTCAACTGAGGGAAATGGTTTCAGCTTACAAAAATAAACAGGAGGTCTGCATTGCCGCTACATGTAGTTACATTTCTGGGGAGGTGCGCGTCAGGCTACACTATAGGCTCTACGTCTTTGCAGGGCCTATGCTGTAGGTACGGCATCATTCAACACAAAAGAATAATTTTCACCTTAGTTTAACTAGAGAACTTGTGAGTGAGCGGGCTGGAGCTGTGTGGAGAGTGTGAGAGAGCAGGGGTGCACTCTGGTATACGTTATATATCACAACTTGACCCTATATTGATATAAACAGTGTTATCTAAATCTATATCTTGCTTGAAAATATATTGATATATTGTACATAGTCGTCATATCACCCAGCCCCATGTGTCGGTGTGTATATGTGTGGACATTGTGGTTTTATGTCACTCATGTCTTTTATAGCCTTATTGCTGCTTCAGCACTTTAAATACATTTTTAGAAATGTAAAAGTATACCAACATGACTGCAAAACATACTAAGGATATTATAAAAAAGGCAGATTTTGCTCTGCATAGTCATTGACTTGTGAACTGTTTTGTATTTGACTGAAACAAAGGGTTCAGTTGATGAGTTCGCTCTGCCTGAACTCGCTGGCCCTGAAATGTAGATCGTGTGCTTCTACACAATGTGTACACCTTTTTGCCTTTTTGGGTGTGAAATAAAGTTGAGTGATGCACTATATTTTCACGTGTTTATTTAAAGTCATTTCATTTATTCAACATTTATGTACACAGGGTGGTCCAGTGAGAACACTCTTTACGGGAGCCTAAACAGGACAATAACAGATTAAAAACAGACACAAAAAAAAAAAAAAAACACAAAAAGCCAATAATACTCAGACCAGCCTGTCTGGCACCAACAACCATGCCACGTTCAAAGTCACCTAAATTCCCTTTCTTCCCCATTCTGATGCTGGGTTCGAACTTAAGCAGGGTGTCTTGACCATGTCTACATGAGCAGTAGATCAGTAGGAGCTTGTTGTAAGACCCAAAAATGTAGGTCGGGTATCACAGTGAATGAGAAGAACCTTCTGTTGCAAAAATGAATACGTAAAGTCACATGGAGAAAAATGAGTGTAGATCACGAGAGATCACGATCACTGTACCTGAGTATGACTTCCCCATGAAGGCATAAAACTTTTCTGTCTGTTTGTAGAAGAAAAAAAACATCTTAAAGTATGTAAAAATGTCTTTCTTTTGCAGCACAAAAAAAATCATAATGCACACAGATGACCTGGCCACTAGTTTGAAACCCATTTTAGTACTGACAGGCAAACACAGCCTCCCTCGCACGCACAGACGGACCACACATGGTCGAAATAAAACCACAGCAACAGAGATAGTGTGTGATAGCATGTATTTCTACAACAACAACAAAAAAGTTTCCACACTCACTTGGACAACAATTTTAAAAACATTTCAGTGACTTTCATATAACGCCCCGGGGACGGAAAGGGCACCAGTTTGGCGGTATGTGGCCCACATGGGGAAATACTTAACCTACTTGACACTGACATGGTTTGCACAAACTACAGTGGCCTCTTTTTCATATTGTTGTCAAGTAACCTGATTCTAAAGCCACATAAACACTGATTAAAAAAATAAATATAAAACGTCTGACAGACAGAACACAGATTCTTGATGTGCTGCATGTTTCTGCCGTCTTGTTTGTCCACCTGATAAATGGAGTCAGCCGGTGTGCCGGGCTAAAGGCATGGCCTCAATAGACAGAGCGGCCGCTTCTACATGTTTCCATGTAGACAAACTCTGTGGAGGACACCATTGAAAATGTGTTAGAGGTGACTGACTATGTCTTTGATGTACGTCTCTGTGTGTGTTTGTCTATCTGCGTGAGTGTCTGGACCAGATATAACTGTAGTGTAACATAACAAGTGTGTGTGTGTGTGTGTGTGTGTGTGTGTGTGTGTGTGTCATACCTTGTCCCAAGCTGGGGTACTGTAGCTGTGTTTTGTACAAAGGGTCTGTGAGGGGGGTTATACTGACATCAGAGGCTGTACCCCTTCTGTAGCTCTCTATCAGTGTTTCCAAGGTCTGAAACCTCTGAAGTCTGACTCCTGAATCCTGCTAATCTCACACACACACACACATACACAAACCATTAATAACATCCTGGTGGGAGTGTACATGTGCATGCAGACGTTCACCCACCTGAAGACCCCAGCCGTCAGTGGAGTGCACGAGCCTGTAGGTGTACACAAACGGTGCTCGTCTGCAAAACACAAAGTATAGTTACGGTATTTCAGTGGTTTGCTGTGAATGTGTAAAATCTGAAACAGCACAAATGTACGTACATGTTGCAATGTGATGATTAAACAGTGTGTACTATTGTTAAAGGGACAGTTCAACCCAAAATAATAAAAAAAAATGCACATTTTTCCTCTGAGCTGTAGTGCTGTTTATTTATCATTGTTTTAGTTTAAGTTGCCACGTGTTGGAGAGATCAGCCGTAGAGATGTCTGCATTCTCTCCAATATAATGGAACTAGACGGCACTAGTGCCAAAAAATACATTTGAAAAACTCAACATCAATGTCTCTTTCCAGAAATCATGACCTGGTTATTCAAGATAATCCACAGACTTTGTTGTGAGCATTTTCATGTAGGAACTATTTTCTTTCTACTGAATTACATCCGCCAATGGTATCACTGTGCAGAAGGAAGCATGCATCTACTCATGGGGAAGAGGCTTGTGACAGTGTGAGATGTAAACATTAATGGTGTCCATTTCGGTTGAGCTGTAACATTAGCTAGCTCGGTGATGCTATGTGAGCTAGCAGTATTGATAGATGAATATTGACAATACTGAAACTGTGTGTCAGTAAGATACCTCACAAATTAAAAATACAAAGTATATTTCATTTAATTAAGGACATTCGTTAAAACCAAAAAGAAGTTTGAAGTGCAAAAAATGCGCAATAGGTGGCTTAAGCGGGATTTAAACTTGTGCCTACACCGTTGTGAGCATTTATACTTGTGCGGTGGTGTGTCTGTGTCACTCTGCAGTTGCACCTCCTAAACACTAGTTGGAGGCGGAGATTTCTGTGAAGTGCTGTAAAGTTTAGTTGATTCAAAACACGCATTAAACACGCATGAAGTAAGGCTTAATAGTGACAATTTCAAACACAAGTACACAAATCAGCTTTAGTATAACTCTCAGCATTCACAGACAAACACTTGTCTTTATCTGGACACATTTTCCCCACAAATACAACATGCTAATGTTTATAGCACAAGCCTATGGCATTTTACATTATATAAATTAGCCTGGCAGCTAGCAGACTTTTCCTCTTCTCATATGAAACCAGGAACAACAGCAACATTTAACAAAGGTGATGTTACAATATTCGGCTCCATTATAGCTCACAAGGTTCACTGACAAAACACCTGTTTTATACTAAACACA